ATATTTTTATACTGTTTTTATTGTATTTTAATTAATATTTATTGTTGTTTTATTGTGAACTTCCCACAGTCACTTCTTCGTGAGATGGGTGGTATCTAAATTTGAAATATAAATAAATAAATAAATAAATATTGGGTCCTACATGGACTGCATTAGCATCTTCTACTGTATGTCTTCATTTTCCAAGACTTTTCAGTGAACAGCAGGAATAATTCTAACCAAGCCTTTTAAATAATTCTTGGTGAATTAAGTTTGCTGTTATAATAATGAATGCTATTTGAAAGTAAAATGCATTTTGAGATATTGTTAATTTAAGGATTGATTTGATGCCATGCAAAATTAGGGTAAGATTAGTGGTTGCTACAGGTAGTAGTGAAACTTTGTGCAAGGGATTTTGGGAAATAATTTGGAACTGTCTTTAACATTAAAGCAAATTTAAACAATGAAAATCCCTTTCCCTTGTCCAGAGTGGTTGCAACTATGACAGAATTTTGAATCAGGGACACTTCTAATAATGATGCAAGCTCAGTCTTATTATCACAGGTAAAACATATGCTATTTTTGCTTCTTATTTATTTACCTGGGATCATATTTAGGAAAGTCCACCTATGAAATTAGTCTAATATATTTCACTAGTACTATAAATATTACAAGAATGCTGACAAGAGAGCTTTTCACAAAAGCTTGTACTGGTGTAACATACAGTGGATGTGTTATTATTAGCAAGATGATTTGTCCCACATTTAGGTTAGCTGATCTGCAGAAACATTGTACATTGGCATAGCTGGTCCTAGTACATTAATTTCCATTAGATTTGCCTGAAACATCTGATTAAATTTGGTGAAGTTAACACGTTTCTAGACGATATTTAGGACCTTGCAAAAAGAGAGTATAGAATTCACTTAAACAAGATGCAGCTGGTTCCCTTCTTGGCCCCTTCCTGGCCCCTTCTTGGCCCCTTCGTGAACAAGAGAATACTTCAGACACTGTTTATTTTATTATGAATCTTAAAGGACAATAATGTCATTTTTTTTCCTGTGTTGAGATCAGCATATTTATTTGGAGGTGATTGACTGGGCTTTTGAAATCTTCTGAAACGCTGCAGTTATCAATCCCACTTTACAATCTTCTTCCATATCTGGGTTTCTTTGTTTCTTATACCTCAGTCCTGTTTTCTTTGAATGACCGAGTGAAATGAATATTGTTTGTACTTTTCTGGATTTGTTCCATACGCATCAAAAATTATGATGGAATTTGAGTACAGCCATGATATTACACTTTATCTTAGTCAAGGAGCTGAGAAGCAGTAGTTCAGCCCTGATACAATGGCAACCTCCCCCTTTCTCTCTTAGTAGTAACAAGACCCAATTCAAAACATGAAAATAGCCTAGAGGAAAAAGCCAACACTTGTAATATATAATGTATTAAATATACAGGTAAATACAATAATGTGAGTTAGTATACAAAGTTTGAGACTTATAGATATTTACAGTATAATTATGTCAGTTGTGTTAACACAAAATAAAATCAGCTTGCCTGTCATCTATAGCAGGCAGACAGAAAAATCAAGAAAGTTTACAAGTCTTTGTGGCCTGTAGGAGATTGATAGCTTGTATGCCATTTGGTGGATCACACATATTGTACAGAAGTATTGGAGGTTTTTTTTCTTCAATGGTGAATTGTTTTAGACTGTTGAGAATCTAGCAGTGGAGGCAGATTAAGATTTTTTGTCTAATAATTCTTGTCCAGGCATGATTTTTTCTTAAATTCAGTGTCGTCTTACTTGAAGTTAAATATGGTAATACACCCTGAAGCATAAATGGTCTCGAGAGATCCGAGGCAAATTCTGTATAATTGTTGGTTGTGTTTCAGTTCTGGCTTGAAACACTTCAAGCAAAATTTGAATCATCATCAACTTGCGTCATCCCACTGCAGCTTTGCATAGCCCTAATTAAGAAATACATTAAATAAAAAATTTAATGCATAGCAGTCATTCTAATAAAATATGGTCATGTTCTGACACATATTTTGCCATTTTATTAAAGTCTTCCTTTTACTGCCCAGGTGGCAAACCTAACTTAAATGAATAGTCCATGACAACTGTTCCTAGGATATTCAATATCTCATTTCAAAAGAATTCACAGATGAATAAAATATTTTTCCTGTTAAATTAAAGAGTTGCTTCGTCCTCTTACAATGTGACTTTCGGAAGAAAACAGTTAAGTGCAAGATTGTCACTAAGTCTTCCAATATATATATCTGGATAAAATATATATTGTTTTGTTGTGAACTGCCCAGTCCCTCCTTGTGGGGGAGTTGGGCGGTGATATAAATTTGATAAATAAATAAATAAATAAATAAATAAATAAATAAATAAATAAATAAATAAAATATCAGCTTGGAAATATTGTGGGTTTAGGTGCTTTCTGCATTGGTATTTTAACTGTCTTTTGGATTACCTCCCCTTCCCTAGTACTTGAAATGGTACATACAATGAAAGGGCAATGGCATTTTCAAGTCATGGCTAATGATCTGGTGAATTTCTCACCTATCCTGTTCACTCACCACTAACTTGTGACTTTTAAAAGGTTATTGTATGAACAAGCCAATGGGTGTCCAAAATTCCACAAGTGCAAGCAGGGGATGTGAAGTCTTGGAATTCTTCAATTGGATCTAATGCAATGTTCAAAAGTTAAGCTCTTAATATACAAGGAAAATCACCCTTTTACCAGCATTAAGTATTGCGACCGATTGACAGCCACAAATCTACTGGTGTATATGGAAGAAATGCAGCAAAATCTTTGAGTATTTTCCAGTGGTATCATAGAAAATCCTTACGAATCACATCTTTCTTTAGACTGAGATTTTATTCTTTACCTCAAGGGAAACAGATGTGTTTTTATGAATGACCTTGTGAAAAATAATGAGGTTTCTTTTTTGTTTATAGTACTACATAGAAGAAGAGGTCGATGACGATGAACCAGGAGAGGTAAAAGCCTCTGTTTTATGCCCAAACCTCTGATTTTGTGGAATTTAATGCTTTTTCAGCATTTTGTGAATGTGCATAATATAAAATAATTTAATAGATGTTTCTATGTAGTCAAATAATCTAATAATAACCTCTGGGAAGAGCAAAGTCAACCAGCACCTCATAAAACAAAATGATGATCTTGCTTTGAGTGTCTTTTGCTAATGCAATGGTGGGCAATTTTTTGATTGTGAGAAGCCACACTTACAAATTTTGGGGTGGGGGGGCACAGTGGATGATAACACCTGCACCCACACCTGCACTAATGGAGTAATCTCTTTCATTGGTGGGAGAGACTGATCCCCAGAAGAGAAAGGATGTGGCTAAGATAACAAGACTAAGTGGCTTTCGGACTGCATGTTTCCCATGTTCTTTGTTTTTTAGAAAGATGTAGGAGAAAGGAGAAATTAATGAAAATTCAGATTTCTTTCCTCCAGCAAGAGTTGGAGGCTTGTTTTAGTTAGTATATTATTCCTCACTCCTACCTTTATTTGCATTAATTTGCAGTAGGCTTTAATCACACTTAACTTTTCTCCTTGTCCATGTGCTCAATGCTTCGTAAGGTACTAGTTGAAATGTTTTAAAAATTCTTTGTTTTCTTTTTGGGGGTGCAGATGGATGGTGGTATCTGCATCCTAGTGAAATTGGTGACTAATTTTTGATTGGCTTGAATGGTATGATTTGCATAAAAATGTATATGTATATACCTCTGCTCTTGATATCTTGGGCATCTCCCAGAAAACAAAGGAAGAAACAGTAGTTCTTAGAAGTTACTAAATGAAAATGATATTTGAAAACTCAGCTCAGAAGAGAATAAATGTATATGTAGCTTTTATGTGTGTTTCCATTCATTTGTCTGATGTGATTCATTTTTGGTACATCCAATGTCATTTTCTTGTTTTTGTTTCTTGTTCAAGTAGCATAGCATATTCACATATTGTTCATCTTTGAAATACCTGTAGCCATCTTAAATATGTTATCCATTTTAAGGCTTTTCAATTTCAAATTTTTGGATGTGTAACAAACAGAATTTACAAAACATTTTTAAAAAACCAACATAATAAACCTATATACATGCATACATGCACATATGTATTCTAATCCATCATAACTTTTCACCTTACTAAAGAATGAAACCTATCTATGTAGTTGTCAACTTTATGGTATGTAATCAATCAATCAATAGAATAGAAATCAAAAGAAAGCTGTGCTTTTATTAACTTTACTTTTAAAGTAATGATTTACCTGTTTGGAAGCCAGACAAGATTTTTCTTCCTAGGGATATGTTTTTATAACTGTTGCTAGCAACCTGAAGATAAATATTGTAAGATTATTTTATTCTAAACATTTGTTGTTTATTACTCCTAGCATTTCTTTTAATACACTTTTTAATTAGAACTGCATCATGTTTATGGCATCAGCATGACTGTAAATATTAGAAGCACGTTCCCTGGCCTCGTTTTCCAGGCCTCAGAATTGCTAAGGAGGATCCTAGAATCTTGTAAGACAGATCTACAGATCACAGGGATGGCCCAGGGCAGAAGGGGCAAAGTTGTTCCTTCATTAGATAGGTTTTGGGTCAATGGAGAGAGACAATTATATAGCATCCCGAATTTTTGGTGTTTATTGTGTGTAGCTCACTTTTGGGGGAATAGTTCATAAGACAACCTTTGAGCATACATTCAGAAAATATAAGAGTGGATGGACTTATTCACATAGACTAATTCTCGTATACATTTTGGAGTAATCTCACTAAGATCAATAAGGTTAAGGCAAAGGAAGAGTTTTTCCAGTCTTTGTGTGTTCTGTATGTGTTCTCAAAATTCCAACTGATGTGAGTGAGAATGATGGCGAGGGAAATTCTTGTGAAATCCAAAACACTTTGGTGAATAAACCAATTCCTTTATTTAGAAAACAGTTATTTAATTTTATAGAAATAAATTAAATGATGTGTGCATAATATAAAGCACTTTTCAAATGTAAGGGGAACTTGATTGGGGGCCGGGGGAAGGTAGTACTATACCCCACCCCTGTCCACTGTCTTATCTAGACATAACTAATGGCTGATTCAATTTTGTTTCCATATGATATATCCTAATGGCACATTCATTTTTGGATTTGTTAGCCATGAATTTCGCAAAGAAGGCAATACATTTTGAGAGTAGGGCAACTTGTCAGAGATGTAAAATAAGAGATGTAACATGTCATAAGAACCATCCTGAATTCAAGAATATTCTCAGGTAGTAGTCATACAGATCAAACTAACTGTATGAACTATTCTTTGCACATTCTCAACATCTATTCCATCCTTCTCTGCCCAGAGGTCTAATTTTCAGGATTTTCTGCCCATCTCTTTTCAGCCTGAGGATAGGTGAAGGCTCAACTCAAATGTATAATGTCATACATCGCACAGGCCTATGAAATGAAGTATGGTAAAGAAGCTATGCAAATCAGTTATCCATATAATCTATTGATGTGGGGTGTAGATTACTAACTTGGAAAGTCCTTTGGAAGTTTTCAAAGATTGGTTCTGAACAAAGTTCTCTGTTTCTCGGTTGCACTGATTTTCAAAGGATTAGTGGGTGTATAGACAATTGTAACTCCCAAAATGGAGACCCAAAAGGCTCTAAAACCAGTGCTAAAGTGGAAGATAAATTTGAAATATCTTTCCATATTCCTAGACGATTACTGAGATCACTGAGACAACATACAAAACTGGGTCCGCACCGTATACAGTAACAACAAGACATACTTCAGGAACAGGCAGGCATCCTTCGGAAACAAGAGTACATACTTATGAAACAACCAGGCATCCTTCGGAAACAAGAATACATACTTATGAAACAATCGAGCATCCTCCAGAAACAAGAATACATACTTATGAAACAACCAGGCATCCTTCGGAAACAAGAATACATACTTATGAAACAACCGAGCATCCTCCAGAAACAAGAACGCATACTTTTGAAACAACAACGCGTACTTTGGAAAGTACAGCACAGCCTCCGGAAGCCAAAGACATCCCTCACAAGGCCTCCCATCCTGTCAGAAAAAAAGTTGTACGGAAAAAAGTGGACACATCTAAATTTCGGACACCTTACTTGGATCACAGTTCAAAAATGCAAAAGCTCTTCAGTGATGTAAGTCAAGAATTTGTATTTTCTCAAATTCAAAGCAATTTAATCCTATATGACTGAGTTTCAGCTAAGTTTTAAAAAATCCCGGGGAAAAAATATTTATTTTATACATATATATGTATCCCTTTTTCAATGTATCATAAATTGATAACAGCTATCAATTACTGTAGCATAGAGGGAGCAGGGAGTCCTGCTTTCACAGAGCAAATATCAAAGCTTAGGGGCATCCCAGAATAATATTCAGAATAATATTCTGAAAAAGTTCTAGTTTATAGTCTTTCCTTATTCAGGCCATAATCTTCTTTGGCTGCATGAAATAACCTAATTCACTTTATCTACATATCTTTAAACTGTGTGTGTGTGTGTGTTTTTCTACTTAGAGCATAAGGTTGAACAAGAATTCTATGTTCCCTCTTACAGTTTTAAATGTATTAATATTTGTTAATATGTGTACCTGTTGTGCAGCAGCATTCTGTTTGGAAGAGCCTTAGTTTTAGAAAAGCCTATATTTGAACTCACTCAATTGTTTTCTTTCACCATGCATGTAGAGTTGCTAAATTTTCAGTGTAAAATGTTGGCTTCTGCATAGGGTCTGGGTGGTACAGTGTGTGTGTGTGTGTGTGTGTGTGTGTGTGTAACTGATCTCAGAAGTCTCTACCTTGGCACCCTTCACATGTGCTTGGCTGGCTAGAAATTCTGTGAGTGAAATCTCAGTACAACCAGAGGGAGCCAGACTGTAGAAAGCTGATCCTTAGGTCCATAAGTTTGGAGAATATATTGTCTGTTAATCAGAAAATTCTAAGCTCATGCAATTTATATATAAATCAAACTTTTATCCAACTCTGCATGAATAAGTATATCTATATGTGTATAGATGCACATACACACACCCCTACTCACACACCAAGGATAGGCAACTTTCCTTGAAAGAGTTTTTCAACAAGATGAGCGGTGACAAATTTGATAAACAAATAAAAAACTTGACGTCCCCAGATCTTATGGATTCTAATTCCTATTAGTCAAGCCTTTTTGGCAAATTGTAAGGAATTGTGGGATCTGAAATCAAAACATTTGAAGGATACCAGATTGTTTAATTCTGATGTACCCACCTATAGAAATATACAAATATGTAAAAGCTTTAAATGCAAGATATTTTGCCAAGGGGTTCCAGAAGATTCATTCTTAACCATTAACACTTTGACATGCTGAAAATAGATCTACATTTTGCTGTCTTTCCTGCTCCCAGAAAAAGTACAAGGAAAAGTTTGAGAAAGAAAAAGGAAAACCATGTGCAATAACAACAGATACTCCTGAACTTCGAAGAATCAAGAAAGTTCAGGACCAGCTCAGTGAGGTAAGAATGAAGAAGAAGAAACCATGTCCAGATGATACTATTTTAATTCTAGTCAGGACAGCAATGAGTTAAATACACTCATAATATTACAATAAGCCAGTCTGGATCTTTAGGATATATATTGCTAGATCCTTGGCACAGGGAACTGCAAACTCAGCTTCAAGCTAGAAATTTGAGAATTCGTACTAGATACCTGTGGGATAAAGTTACAGTTCTTAACTGTCTGAAAAATACTGCAGACATGGAAGCTGCTCGCCTTATGGGTGGATTCTCCCAGTGTAGAGATGCCCTGCCAGTACTCCCCAAGCTCTTGAATGTGGCCCCTAAGAGCTAGCGCTGGTTTCATTTTAAACTTATATTAAATACATTTTTAGTAATTGCATTAATTAAATATTGACTTAATTTCAGTTTGTCTTGGCTCCATTAACTTTTCTGTTTTCAAACAATGATTTACTATAGTTTTCTATACTATAGCATATACGTATTTTCTGTAGGTTAAATATCGCATGGCTGGTGAATCAGCTAGAACTGATTGCCACCTTGATGAAAAAGCAAGAGACATTGAACATGCAAAGAAAGTTTCTCAGCAAGTCAGCAAGGTAAATCATCCTGTGGAGGGATATAGATGTTAATGAGATTTGTAAATACCGAGATGATGCTTTTGCAATTCAAATGGTTTACTTTATTTTTGGATAAATTATGAGAGAAATCTGTTATCATATACCAACAATATATGTTTTATCACTTGTCCAACTTTCCAAAGAACTTTATGCACATCTGGTTAGTTATACAGCTAGTCCTTGTTTAGTGACTGCCTCTTTTAGCAACTGTTTGCAGTTATGATGGTGATGAAATGTAATTTTATGACCAATCCTCACATTTATGTCCTTCGCAGGTCTGTAAAGCAAAGAAAAGCTGAAGTAAGATTATAAACACAGTTACAGTTTCACTTAGTGACCGCTTTGCTTAACAACCAAGTTGCCGGTCCCAGTTATGGTCTCTAGACAAGGACTACCTGTATTCACTTTTTTGACTACCTCCTTGAGGGGTGGAATGCCTATTTATACCTTTTCCTTCCATATACCTATACAAATGCATCACAGCAATGTGTGAATAAATGGTAATATATTAAAAAAAAACATTAGGAAGGTACACCAGCCTTTCCCAAACTGGGGCTCTCCAGGGACATTTGATTACAGTTCCATGATTTGCAATCATTATGGCCTTTAGATCAGGGGCAGAAATTGAAATCCAATGCACGCAGAAGATACTGGGTTAGACAAAGCTGCCACTGACAGCATCGCATTCAAATGTTCAAATGTTCAGGTGATAAAATCTAAGTCACATTGCATACTTTCAGTTTAATGCTTGAAGGGTGCCTTATTCTCCCTGCTCCCTGAGAAATGTTCATGAAATGTTACAAATTTCCCAGACAGTGCAATATGTGCAAACTCTATCTTAATCAGTTACTAAGCAGTTTCAAAGGAGGAAATATGAGTTACTGGTGTTTCTATTTCTCCCTGAAACATTGGACATTTAATTTTAGAGTAATGCAGCTTATAGCTGGAGCTGAAGGAATTGATACGCCTGACGCTTCTAAGCCGCATGCAGATTATGACAATGCCTGTGCTGATCCTCCCTATTCGAAGCAGCATGAATAGCACAATCCATACAAGGGATTGTCCTGAAATGTTACACTTTTGTCTCAGTTTGGTTGCTTCCTGTCCTTCTGGATTGGCACCGAACTGCGAAACCAGCTGTTGTCTTCTACCAAGACATTCTCCCATTGTCCTACAAACTGAAGCAAAGACACAATCAACAACCTAGGCTATCAGATTGGACACTGGAAATATGACTCATCTGTTTATTGCGGAAGACCACAGAAAGATGATTTAAAAAGAAGATTGACCAAATGTCTTTCTAGCAAATTCTCGTTTATTCAGTTAGATGAATGAATACATTCACCCCAATAAATTGTCTTTTGAGGCTATAAGCCTTCATAAAACAGCTTACAGTATAGTTAAAATAGTGGAAGTTTGGCTTTGTTAAGTGCACTTAAATAATATTTTTGAAGAATTGAGGAAATGCAATTATGTATAAAAGACTTCAAAGAACATTGAGGTCTTCGGAAGCAGTTCAGGAAGAAAAGGGATTGGCAGCCATCCTGGCAAGTGAATTTGACTATTGTTGGACTAGCTGAGCATGAGCTTTGTGAAGAATTGGACTGAGGAGAGGTGTTTCTTTACAGTTCCTCTGACCAGTGTGGTGTTTGTGTGTCCTTATAGGTTTTATACAAACAGAACTGGGAAGAAAATAAGGAAAAGTACCTGCTACCTCCTGATGCCCCTGAGCTTGTTCACGCCATAAAAAACACAGCCTTATACAGCAGGGTAGGTCCATTTACTCTTGTTAGAAGGACCTGTTGTCCTTTCCTGCTTTTCTGGTGTCTCTTTCATGCCTGGAACTAACGAGTGTTGTGGTTACTCTTCTCTTCAGAAACCTTATGTTGAAGAATGGGAAGCAGACAAGGCCCTCTTCTATCCCTATGATGACAGTCCTGAACTTAGGAGAGTTGCAAAGGCACAAAAGGCCCTTAGTGATGTAAGTACCAAGTTCCCAATCGGTCATTGGTTCTGGACCTGCACAACTGGGAAAGGGCACCCATATTTGACACGGTTAATAGTTAGAAGAATCTAGATTTGCATCAGTGTGTTTACCAGGCGACCTTGCAGCTAAACAACCTTCAAAGGGCTTTTGCAAGAATGAAATGGCTATTTATAGCACATTATCTTGCCCTTTGGCACAGGCAAGATATCAGTAATAGACGAGGCAGTGGAATGGGGTGGATGGTGCATGGAAGGTGATGGAAAAGTAACTTGTGGCGTCACTTAGCTGGCATTGGCTGATCTCAAAAGCCTAGCAGATTCAGGTCTGGTTAGGACTTGGATGGGAGTCTATAAGGATATTCCAGGGCTGTAGGTTAGACAAAAGTTAAAAAAAAAAAAAACCTGGAAGAAGGCAATTTCAAGTCATTTCTGTACTGTTGCCAAGAAAACTAAAAGAATATAGGAACTAGGAACTGAGGCTGACTCAAAGGAGTTAAGACAAGAATGTTCACTATAGCCCCACCATTTGGGAAAATATTATTCTCTAATCCAGTGTTTCTCAACCTTGGCAATCTGAAGATGTACAGTATGGACTTCAATTTCCAGAAATCCCCAGCCAGCTTGCTGGCTGGGGAATTCTGGGAGTTGAAGTCCACACATCTTCAAGTTGCCAAGGTTGAGAAACACTGCTCCAACCAACACCAGAGCCATTAAAATAAATGGTGCAGTAGAAAGTTTCCGCCCCAGCTCTTAATTTATTAACTTCTATAAAGATGGCTCATATGTTGTGGTGGAGAGCACATTTTGGCACCTAGCATGCCTAAAACGATGCCAATTAAACAATTGCTTCCTCTGATTGTCTTGTTCAATTCCTGGTGTGAAATTCTAGAGTAACTGTGCTAAATTAACAGAGTTATATTTTGATCCCCTGAAAACTAACTCCTATGGAGACAGGCTACAAGAATAAATGTGCTTGTTTAAATAAGCAGGTTTCTTTTTCCCTGCGATTTCAGATTGTCTACAAAAAAGGACACGATGAACAGAAATCTAAATACACCGTTCTGCCTGACCCACCTGATGTGGAGCTTGCGAAGAAAGTCACCCGACAGCTCAGTGATGTGAGTATTCTGTGGTAGAATTTATTATAATAGATGCATCTGAGCTGGGAGCAGGACAGCCATCAAGTATCTCTAAAATATGTTACCGGGGGGGGGCGGGGGGAGTATTAATGGCCTTTACAGGAGAATCTTGCCTCTTGCAATCACAATCATTCTGCAATAATGCTTCTCCCTCCCACTCTATCTTTTCTTCCATCTGTATTAGCATAAAGAGAATCAGCCAACCAATCCATTATTTATTATTGATTGACTGATAACTATATATTTTGCTCACTCCCTTTTTATGTCTCTAGGTAACTTCTGAATAGAATAGAAGCCAATCTAGAATTGTTTTAAGCTCCCTCCTACACCATAACAAGGATGGACCCAGATTTAGCTATAGATCTTGGTCACAAGTCCTTTCCATGAGTCACGTGAGGTTCAACATTTGTATTCTTCCTTCTCATCCGTTCTAAGAGGGTATCTGCTGCAATGATCTGAGCATTGTTTCTTCAAAAAGCTTGCTTTTCCTCATGTGGAAATCTATGCACATAGAATCAGTTTAGCAATTTATCAGTTGTGTGTATCTTATCTTAGATTTGTTTAATAGGGCAACAACCTTACCTTGTTTTTTTGGATGGCCTTTATACTTTGGGCTAGGTATGGTGAAGGTATGTCTTGTACTTTTAATTGTTAAAATTCCTCTTGGCACATGGTGAATCACTAATTTTTGGTTGTGTTTGAGCTAGAGTAATTCACTTATAGAAAGAGCTCTGAAGAGGCATTGTTTTGGTGAAGCTGAAATAAATCTCCCTTTCTAAATTTAGATGATCTTTTCCCATTCAATGTAAAATAATGCCTGACAGATTTTTTAAAAATGATGGCAAATAAATGCCTATTTCTCTTTTGACTGTCAGTACAACTGATGAGTTCCATGAAGCATGACTCATAAACTTGATATTTAGATATAATTAGCTTTTATTCATTATTAATGTGGTCATATAATTTATTACCCAATAGTAAATTTAAACTCACTAAGTTGACTGCTATATTTTTAATGGAATGGTATATGACCCTTTTCTCTGCATTAGTTATATTTGGCATCAGAAAGCAAGTAGGATAGGTACCAGACTGACTTCTCTGGGAAGATTTTCCATATTGGATGATATTTCTGGGAAGGTTTTTGAAAAGCTATAGAACAATTAGGTTTTATTCAAACATACCAAGAAAAGAAGAGTCAAAAATGTAGTCCAATAGGTCAATTTCAGCCTGGAAAAATGAATCTATTTTAAGAATCTATTTATTTTTCTTAAGTAGTTTATCTAAAGTCCAGTATTTATTTGTTTTTATTATAGCATAATTATCATGAAGACTATCAAAAGAAGAAGGGAAAATGGAGCCAAACTCCAGGCTATGATGTTGCAATTGCCAGAATGAATGCTGACAACTTAAGCGCAGTAAGAAGGAATAGCAAATCTTAGTAATAATGCAATTTTGTGTTCGTTTTCCTTTTTCCTCCCCCCACCCACCACTTTATATTGACTACTTGCCTTTCTAATAAAATTCTGGTTTTGAGCTGTACATTCTTGCATTTTCTGCTGTTTACAGAGAAAATACCAGGAAGACTGGGAAGCTAAGAAAGACCAAATCCACTTCATGCAGACAGAAACGCCAGAGTATGAGGTTAATAAGCGTGCTGGAATTGCTGCCAGTAAGGTAGGTTAATAATTCTAGCTATGTGCTTAGATTGAGCCCATTGGGGAAACCATGCTGATGGCCTGATCCATAATGTGCTTGGGATCTTCTGATCCTTTCATTTTACATGTGAAGAAGATCCCATTTATCAATTTTTTACAGGGCTGATTCAAAGCTTTTGGTTACCTCAGTTGGGATGGGTTGGGTTGGAATGAAGGCATATCTGTGTAAATTGAAAATGTGTCACAGATAGGGATGTCTGCAGGAGGGGTCAAGAAGTGAAGAAGGCAGTTGCAATCACATGAACAAAGCCCTTGTGTATGCCTGTGACATTAACACATGTACAAAAGAGGCGGGGCTTTGTTCACATGGTCACAGCTGCCATCGTGACTTTTTTTGACCCTCTGTGATGGAAGCCACTGATCACAGAATATTCTGCCCATTTATATATCTGGCATTCTGTATGTATCGTGCTGCCTCATCTGCCTTGATGGGCAAGGGAAGTTTAATGTGGAGCTCCATTAAGTCAGACTTGGGTGCATCTGTTAGATCTTGGCATTGTTCAAGAAAGTGTGATTGACACTTGACACATGACAGGGAGTTCTTTCCATTATGTTGATGATCCAGTGGAAGCTTTTGTTGGAGGAAGGGAGAACTTTCATTGATTCCCATTTTCAGTCACCGCTCCACCTCCCCTACTTTTCTGAGAAGCAAAAGAGACTACATGGAAAAAAGAAGACAATTGCCCCCCTCACTTCTGCTGGTTTATGTGTGTGTGTACCAATAGTATAACTTTGCTAAAAACTGTTTTGGAACCAAGCTGCTGAGCACGCAATGTCCTTCACTTCATTTTTGAGTGCAGTATCATCTTCTCAGGTTTAGTAATACAAATTTAGCAAAAGAGGTAATAGAACTTGAAAAGGACTCTTGCTAATGATCAAGGTACTTTCTTTAACCCTTGAAGGTACAATACATTCCAGTTATATTTCATGAGCTTATTAGCAACGGCTTTTTTGAACATGGAAAAATGGCCAAGTGCTAGCTATAAATGGCATTTTTCAGTTGGAACTGTTTTAAATCAAATATATTTGATTTAAAATAGTACATAAATGTTTCCAATCTCTGTTTTTTTAATCTTTAAGCTAAACACCAATATAAAAGTACACCAAGGTACACCAAAAGCATACTGTAAAATTGGAAAATTAATTAAAGGGTTTTTTTCCCCTTAATTTTTCTAGGTAAAATACAAGGAAGATTATGAAAAATCCAAAGGTTCAGCAGATTATAATGTACTTCCAGCAACTGAGAATCCTTTGCTCAGGCATCTAAAAGCTGCTGGAAATCTTGTAAATGATGTAAGTATGCAAGTTTTTTCCAGGGATGGATTTGACAAAACAGTTTCAACAATTCATAGCTATTTGTTATTTAAAATTAGGCCTCTTTACTAACAGATTTGCTGTGTAAACTCATGTCTTGTTAGGAGAATGCAGAATTTAATCAGCAAATTGGTTAGATCAGCACAGACTATAAAACAGGATGTTCTTTTTTTCATATTACTTCAGTTGCTATAATTGGAGGACAAGATACATGATTGTTATTGTGGATAGTTAGCTTATATTTTGCTCACTTCAAACCCATGGTGTTTACCACAGAATCCCAAACTATAATAGCCAAGAAAAATTTCTTGCTCTTTATTCTTATTATTGCGTTGCAAGAGCTACCAAACCATTCTAATTTTGGACAATGGCTGCACAGTTGGACCTGAGATAAAGCTTTCTCCCTTGCTGCACCCATACTGGGAACCTCCTCGAGAGTATCTCATTTCCCCAGGGTATATCATGAGCCAAGCCAGTGAGTGAAGGATGTTCCTGGATCACATTTTGCTTTGCAATATGTGTGGGGTGGGGATGATGAATGTGGCCCAGGCTGCTCTGCTTTTTTTCCCCCTTGGATTTTATGAAGATGTGTTTGGAAAGTTTGTTTTTAAAATTATGCTAAACTTAATTTTATGTATCAGACTACAGGTTCCAGTTTCCCCTTAAATAGCAGGAAGGCATATCCAGGAATTGTGGTTTGAGTGGCTCTTTGGGTGACAAAAAGTAGTTTGAGGACTACACACAACGCTGGGGCCTCTAGTTGCCCAGCCCTGAAAGATGCAAGATCTAAATGGGGAACAAGAAGTTAGTGAGAAGAAATTTGCAGGATGACTTACCTGTCATTGCAATTAGAAGTACAGTATTAAATGAGCATATCAAGAACTGAATACAGAAATAATTTATGAAGTAAAGCTTCTGCATCCTTCATGTCAATGATGGCAAAATTCCTTTTGCTTCACAAGAAAGCAAGGGGATGTTCTGCTTTGTTTCAACTATTTTAACAAGCAGTTACGAGTTTACTCATTTAATTTAGATGGGCTTGCCCGTTCATGAAGTTCACATTTTAACAATGTGAACTTTTAAAAAATGTGCACTTTTTAAAAAAGGTACAAATGAATAAATGACCTCTTCCTTCTGTATAAATCAATTTCAGCTCGGTATCACATAAATAACATTTTTGTTTTTTATTGTATGTGTTGCCAAGATTAAAATAATTATACATTGGTTACTATTTGTGTTACAATTATACAATTGTTTCACACATGTATAATTATGGAGCTTGCTGCTATAAAAGGCAGTGAGATGAATCTACCATGGCAAATAACTAGAAAAATAAAAAGCAATCTCAAAAAGAAGGAGGGATGTTGAGAAGGATGACAGAATTTGAGGAAATCAAAGCAATTTATAAAAAATCAAGATAATGTATTATGATATATTTATATATTGGGAAGAGTTATAGAAAAAATAAATAAAATTTACTTCAAGCTACAATTGAAAGGAAAATTGTACAAAATGTTCTACAGATGGTACATAACTCCTTTAACAATTGCCAAGATAGACAAAGCATACAACAACAAATGTTGGAAATGCCACAACAGAAAAGGAACATTTTGCCACATGAAAAAAAAAATTAAGTACATCAAAATACTCAAAATATCCTAAAAATAATATTTGAAGTGAAACCACAAATATTTCATTAGGTATAATTCCAGAAAACATAAGTGAAAAATATTTACTAAGATACTTGTTAATAGCAGCGAGAACAAACCTGGAACAACATTGGAAAAGAGAAATTTATCTCTTTCTCAGACTGATATCAGATTGGGAGACCAAAATTAGAAAATATGCTGCAGTGACAAAATTGACAGGATAGATCCATAATAGAAGGATTCAAGTTCAAGTAGGAATGGCTCTCTTATGTACAACGCATTACATAGCAAGGCAAATTTAGACATTGAGAATATGGTTTCTGGAACTTAAAAACTAATAACAATAATTAATGTTCATTATAAAGTACAAGTATTTAAACTGGTTAATGGTTGGGGAAACAAAAGGAAGGACAGGGAGGATGTGTTCCTAGAAAGTTTTCTCACTATGCTTTTTTTTAAAGAAAATCTATTTTTATTAATTATTCTTGTGTTCCATCTTATTTTTTCTTACTTTCTTTTGTATTCTATTATTTTTATAAAAAAATATTTTTATAATATGAGACCATTGCAAAGCTTAGTGATGCAAGGAGAAAAACAAAAACAAAACTGAGCCTAAGCTATTCATTATCCCCAGGTCCAGAAGCAATATGCCTTTTCTTTTTCTTCCTAGCACTTTTCCTGCAGGGTCCACTTTTTTTTTTCCTGGATCAACTGTTGGTTGTGACAGGAATTGACCGACTGACTTGTCATCTGAGCCTGACATTGTGGGTTGAGAGAGAGGGACTGGCCCAGGGTCACCCAGCTGCCTTTCATGCCTAAGGTGGGACTAGAACTCTCCGTCTCCTGGGTTCTAGCCTGATGCCTTCATCACTACATCAAACTGGCTCTCTCTATAAAAAGAATTGGGAGACAAATTGAGGAAGAGGTATTGCTTTTATTGGAAGAAGGAAATCTACAGGAATCTTGCCTACCATTGTAGAGAAGAGGATGCTGGACCTTTAGTCTGATCCAGAAATGCTTTGCTTTTACTGTATTCATAACTTGGATAAGATAAACAATTAAAAATAAAGATTTGTATCCCAGTACCTGCTTGCTTCATCTGAAGACAGCACAAGTTTGATGGCGTCATGATCAGTAGAAGAATTTAAAATATTTGTTGTGTTCCTCTTATGCTAATGCTCCTATATTCTTTTTTTTTTTTTTTCTGGCAGAAATTATATAAGGAAGCATACGAGAAAGCAAAAGCAAAAAGTATTAACTACTGTGAGACCCCAAAGTACCAAGTCGACAATGTTCTGAAAAACTTTAGTGATGTAAGTGTGGTAGAAATTGCTTCTTTAACGTGCTTCAGATAAAGTTGTGCAAGATAGGTCTGTTTCTTGTAAAAACTGGTGGTGTTCTTTTATAGGTGAAATACAAAGAGCCTTACATAACCAATGTTTTGGGCCGGTACATAGGCAGCAGTGAGGACCCCTATCAAGCTCATTGCATGAAAGTTGAAGCTATGAAGAGTGATGTAAGTATGAGTTATACCTACTTAATCTGGCTTTGCTGATTTGTAGTGGTTACTGATCCCTCGTTGTTTCTCTAGAAAAACTATAAAGCGGACTATGAAGATGAAAAGGCTAGCTGCTACTTCCCCCAGACCATAACTCAAGAATACGAAGTCCTGAAGAAGCTAGACAAGTGCAAAGATGTAAGAGCTGCTGTGAAATCTTGTATCTGTACATGGCCCAGAACCTCAGATATTTATTGGGAAAAAACCCCTGTCTTTTAAAACTTATTATTTAAAGCAATTTAAACACTCAAATTATAAAATGCATTTGAAAGATAGACAAATGTTGCACACAGACACACACACAAAAGACTTAAAATTGACTACTAACTGGGTACATTGATCATGTGTTTTAATAATTCAGAGAAGTAGAAAAAACCCTATCTTTTACTGAAATATTTATTCTGCTTTCTAGTTAAGAATCTGGGTCTATGCTGAGTTAGGGTCACATTACTGAGTCCCATTATTCCAATATGCACACTGAGGAACTGGCATTTTGAATAAAGGAGTGAAATGAGAAGAACATTGAATTGAAAAATTCACAGTCTTTCCTTCTACCTGCTTTGCCTTGGCTCAAAATTGCAGTCCCCAAAGGTTGCTTTGCATTAATAAAAAATGAGAGGGCCTTCTCCTTTCATCTGGACGTAATGTGTAGTTTGTCCTCAAGTGGTATCATTCTGACCTCTTACATCTTCATATTCATTTACAGGAAGCTCCTGACATCTAGTGGTCATCATGTGCTTGGGCCACGTACATAATTTCTCAAGCAAAACCTTACATATCAGTTCAATTCACTTTCTATAGAATTGGACATGGCAGTGGAAATAATCACCTTCAACACTGTACAGACACGCATGCACACACGCAGACACTTAAATGTGCAAGGCTGGATGAAGGAGTAGCTCACATTTCTGAATAGTAAATCAGTTAAAATTATCCAACATCTCCTTAATTGAGCACCTGACATCCTTTGATGCTTTCATGGCTATAATAGGCTGAAGGCTTTAAGAACTGCAGAAAATAATACATTTTGGTTTAGCTCATGCTACTGTATTTATAGCATATTGCACAATACCCTAAGCCATATCATGGCAGGGCTTACTGTAGCATGCAAAATGATGTGGCTGAGTTTGCAAAAAAGGTAAGATGCCTTAACTACAACCAGAAGTGAGGATGTGTACATGAGATACCTAGCTGTGCCATAGTTATAAATGTCTTCTGAATGCAACCTTATGGCTAGCTTCTGGTTTGGCAGTCATTATCTGCCTGGACAATGAAATGGGATTCAGAAATGGCCACAAGTCAGAGGTACCACTGCCTCCCTCCCACTATTATTTTTGCCCTTGATTAATCTTAATGTGTGTTGAGAGAATGTACTCTAGATCAGGCAGCTATATTAAAATCTCCCATCTTTCTAGATACAAAACATATTGAGATCCCTTGAATGTTGTATACCTCTGATAGCAAAAAACATCTCAGAAGTCCAAATAATATTATATCATGGCTGACCCAACTAGATGTTTATTCAGTCAGCATCATTAACTGCAGTGTTTTTTTTTTAATATGCTATTACAAAAATGGAAGGTGATAGTTTGGCAGCCTGAAAATATCATTATGCTCTGCTTTCACTTCACCTAGCATGCCTACAAGAAGCCTCCTGATCAGATTAAATTTACCCCTGTGATGGACTCTCCTGTTTTGGTACAAGCACAGGTTAATACCAAGCAGTTGAGTGACGTAAGTAACCTGCAACTTAAAGAATGAGTTCTTGTCTGGTTTTATATTTCATGAAGCTTTGTCTGACAAAAAGTTTCCAATCATAATATTCCATATTCAACTTGTGACACAATGAAAGGGCAAATGAAGAACCCATAGTTGACCAAGAAACCTACATGTTATGTTTGTTTGTTTTAAAAGCATGATCCAATAGATTACTCATATTGAATAAACAATGGTTAGTTTCCAGAAGAAGTTTCAGGACTGTGTCATCTTAGGAATTTGACATTGTGGAGATGGGTGTAGGAAGAATCTCTCCATCCACCTATCCAGCCATATTCTTCGATACGGGGGTTCTTTACTTTCATATCCTAAATCCTATAGAGTTCTGTGTAAAAAAAAATCTGGTCCCTCCCAGATTAAAACATAAATGCCAACTTTTTCAGAAAAAGACATATTTATTTACAGACATTCTATTACTCTGTTTACCAATTATAGTAAACTTTAAGGACATAAAGATACAGTGATACTGTAGACAGTACTGCTTTAATTATAAAGTAATGAGTGAGTGTTGACTGAGGCTTAAACGGTATTTGCCGCTGTGAGAGCAGTATTTCCAAATAATGAATGAGGTAAGCGCTACACAAAATACTTTTAGTTTGACTCCTAACCCCAGCCTTCTCAGAGGATGCTCCAGTCCTGAACTCCAGAAATCAGTCTTGTTGAAGTAGCTATTACTTTGCCTCAGCATATTTGACTGCTGACTGGCAATTCTGCCCTCCTTGTCTGATTCCCTTTCTCATGCACTCTTGAGAATTGGTGAAAGGAGTTGCAGCCCCCACCCCAGATCACTTTTATGTACCATTAGTGGTACACATGCTACTGATGGAGAAATAGTGCTCTAACATATTAGTACTTCAGATGTTCCAGCATGGAGCTTTGTCATTCAGAGTTGGTTCTTGGTGAACATCTACTTCATGTTAAGCCCCTAAGAATAAGGTGTCAACCCATAATTTCATATTCTTTCATAGTTATAAATAGAATTCACTTCTGTTGTGAGAAAAACATGATTGTAACATTTTGATGAAGCTTGATGCAGGTGTTATGTGAACTTATGGGAAATATGGATGTGTGTTCCTCACCATTTGCCAGGTTGATATGTTGGTGAAGAGGGAGTGAATGTGGAGTCTGCTTCCACCCTGCCCAAAATCTTCTAACATCTGAAGAGGTTTCTGTTATTTAAACTAATGCCCTGATTAAATTGTTTCAAATTATAACTGTTCCAAATTTGAAGCACTCTGTTTCAGATTTCGAATAGTTGTTTCAAGTTCAAAACAGTTGCTTTGTATTCAAGTTAGGCTATTTCTGGGTGAAAACACTTCTGTTTCAAGTTTAAATTTGAATTACTGTGTTGTGAAGCTCAAAACAGTTCCAAAATGGTCAAAATGTTATTTCAAATGTAAAGTAGCTTTAAGTTATTTATATTTATATTTAATTAAATTTATAAGCCATCCAATGCTGTTATGACTCTGAACTCAGAATGAGTATTGAACTTAGAACATTTGGGCATATCTAACTAAAGCCCTTTTAAGGTGTAGAATCCCATTAAAAGTAAAGACTGTTGAAACAGATATAATTGCTACAGATACAGGGTGGACCCATTATGGATCAGGCTACTAGTATTAAAATTTCTTTTCCTTTCTTCTCCCCTGTGCGCACACGGCATCTGATCCTGAGGGGGAGTGGGGACACTAAAAGGGGAATAAAATTGGCTTCCCCCCATTACATCTGCATACGTGATTTCCACCAACAGGACAGTAAGCTAGATTCCACTCAGATAATATTGAAGTGGGAGGTGCCATGCATTTTAGAGTTCAGCAAACTAAGTCTTAATGATTTTGTTTTGTTGTGCCTTTGAGTCAGCTTTTTGAATTCTGATGACTGCCTGGACTAACCCCTGCAGTTTTCTTGGCAAGGTTTTTTTGGAAGTATTTTGCTCTTACCTCCTTCCTAAGGTTGAGAGAGAAAGTGACTGGCCCAAGGTCACTCAGCTGACTCTGTGCCTAAGGTGGGACTAGAACTCGCGGACTCCTGGGTTCTAGCCTGATGCCTTCACCACTACACCAAACTGGCTCAGGTCTTAATGATAGTTTGTTAAAATACCAGCCTGGAATCTCTGTACCCTTAAAGTTTTATGATATCTCTTACCATTTTTATTGAAGAGGCTGCATCATAAGAAAGCAAGCAAACTGTATTGGCTGGATGCAAGAGATATTTCATTCCAGATGACTTATACTGATCCATTCTACAGATACACATCCTGGTGTTGGTTAACCAGTGATTAACTACAGCATAAGTGGTTTGTTTTTGAAATATTTGAATGGAAAGATCTATTGTCTTGTTCAGATCTAATGTTAGCAATGAATGGTAGTGTTTTAATTCAGTTTCTTCATATTACCACATTTTATGCCATTGCTTATTCTGCATTTCAGATGAACTACAAAGCCAAACATGAGGCCGAAAAATCCAGATGTTCCATACCTCCAGATGCTCCTTTGTTTCTCCAGTCCAGAGTCAATGCTTATAATATCAGTGATGTAAGTATAATGGACAACTGCTCTTGTGACTTGATTTCATAATCAATAATGTGTGTGTGTGTGTGTGTGTGTATATACGCCTAGAAACTACTGATCTGTAAAAGCTGAATGGGTTACTGAGTTGAATGGGTTACATTCCATTAACAATTGCCAACTGTGGCTTTATTACAGTTATAATAAATATTGTAGGTAACAATTTCTGAGTATGTATATTTGACTGATGGGTTAGACTCTCTTAAGCAGAAAGCTAAGTTCTGAAGAAGGAAAATGTGAAAAAAAAAGAGAGCCCAAAAGCAGGTGAGAAAATGAAGGGCACAAATCTAGTGTTGATCCAGAAAGAAATTTTTCAAAATCAGAAGCAAGAGGAAGAATCATAGGGTGCTTCTAGGTGTGGCTTCTATTGTGCAATTACTCTCCCTTATTTACAGAATTCAGTGGGTGAGCAAGAGGTTTTCACCATCCTTAAAAAGATCGCTTTTTAATTTCTCCCCTCCCTCACCCTCCTGCGTGTTTGGTTTTTCATTTACCATGAAAAATCCACTAAGGAAGGAAAGGTGGCATTGCTGGACAATGCCTTTGGATTATTAGCACCAGGGACCCTGTATCTGGGCAGTATCTTGGGAAGAATTATGACAAGATATGAAGGAAGAGAAGAAATCCCTAAAAGGAAAAACATTGAATGACTAAATGAAAGAGTGAGAAGCAGGTAAAAGAACTGGAGAAACACAGGTTAAGGGAAGGCTGAGACCTGAGTGGGGAGAATGATTGGAACAAAAGATACAGTGGAGATGAATAAAGGAAACAGTATAGGATGAAGCAAAGAAAATAGAGAGATAAAAGAAAGAGAAATGTGTACCAATGGATAACAAATGACAGGAACAGGGTATGGATAATTCAACACTGTTGACTTAATCGCATTTTGGATACAACTATCCCTGAATGAATATATGATCTCTAAAAAACTAGAGATTTTCCACTGAATGTTCTAGTTATTTCATGAAATTCATGCAGAGATAAATCCAGTATTTCTTATTCTTCATTAAGTAATATATATATATTAGTAACACATGTTACAAACCAATCTCTCTAAGCATGCAGACATTTCAATGCATCAGGTTGTTAGTGATTTGAATATGCGAAATTGTTGTAATTTTATATATACTCTACAATAAATGGATGCATTGATTCCTTATGTTACACTTTCCTTATGTTTTCTGATCATTCTCTTTTGATTAGAATTGGTATAAGTATGACTGGGATCAATCCAAAGCAAAGAAGTTTGATATCAAAATGGATGCCATTCCGATTCTGGCTGCAAAAGCAAAACAAAAAATTGCGAGCGATGTAAGTGTTATACAGAATAACAAAGGTAACTCTTGGCTTTCCATCTGTATGCAAATTTATAGCATATGAAACTAAATTATTCTCTTATCCCCATGTAGGTTGAGTACAAGAAGGGTTATGAAAAGGGCAAAGGGAAGCTTATCGGAGCCTTGTGCGTTGAAGATGATCCCAAGATCTTACATTCTCTGAAAGTAGGCAAACTGCAAAATGATGTAAGTAACCCCAAAGTAGGGTGGAGTGAAAATGGGATCTGTGGGAGCCACACATGTTCCTTGTGTTTCAGGAACTTAAATGCAAGGAGAATGAATACTAAAATAACAAGTCCTAAACATTTTTTAAAAAATTATTATCTTGGATCCGTATTTAATTCCAAATGAACATCTCAGCTGTATGGTAGACATACTGAATTATGTTTTCATAATTGAAAAACATATTACACATTGTTTTTGTTCTTTAAACTTCTCGCCCATCAACTCCATCTAACTACAACTTCCTTGGCCTTCCCCTTCATCTTGACCCATTAACTCTTTCTTCATATATTTGTTTTGCTATTTATTCCTCATTTATTATCTCTATATAACCAACCACTTCAACATACACTCACTTTTGTATTTTGTCAGATTCATTCAGCACTCAGACATTCTTTATGTTATTCTTTTTATTCTACCCTGCCCACTTCTTAATCCTATTCTCCCTATGTTCAACTTAATTTTTATGCTTCTCCTGATATAACACTCCATATAACAAAATCAGCAGAAGCCCTCTTTTATACATATCCATTTTCATTTTTTCCTGACAAACATTCATTCCTCATAACAAATCACATGCTATTCACTATCTTTCTACCATCTTCAATAAACATTCTACCAAAATACACCAATACGTCTATTTTCTCTAGTTTTTTTTATCACGTGTGTATAACTGGCAATCACTCACTGAATTTTTCATGGTGAACACAACATGGTCTTTGATCCATGAATTTTCAGTTCCATGCTGTTTATCCATATATTCTCACACATCCATTTATTCAACAACCAAACTTAAACTGGATGTTTATGCAAAACATTCCATAATTCAAACCTATTCACTTTATTTTGAATTTCTTTAAATCAACAAATGTATCATAAACTTTCTCACAGTCATACATTTCTCATGTAAACAGCAAAAATCTCATCTGCATAACCCATGCCCAGCATAAAGCCATTCTACGTTTCCCAGGTTTTCCTTATTGTTATCTCTTGTACCATTTGAGCTAGTTCTACTTCACAGTTTATTACAGTCTTAGACCAGTACAAGAAGTTTGTTCATGAGTGACCTATGTTCACTTATAAAACTAAGAAATCTTTAGATAACATTTAATACATATTTAGGATATGTACCATTTGAGCATTATTCTGTCAAACACATTCCTAGGCACACTTAATAAACTAATTCCTCTATAGAGTTTGCATTCATTCTTACTACATTTCCCTTTGAATTGTGGTACCATGATCCGTTCTTCAGGCACAGATACAGTATCCATACATACATTAAATAGCAATTCAGAAAGCAAACCACATTTATGTCTAACATGGCTAGACATCCAGTTACAACTGTAGCTTTACCATTTGTCAACATTGTCATGCCATTTATGACTTTTTTTCATCAAATTTTTCATAGACAATAAAATTTACTTCTATGGTAACTTCGATCTTATTTTTAAATTCCATTCATTGAGATACCACTATTGTTCCCATGCCGATCTCCAAAATACTACTTACAGCATTCTCTCACTTCAGTTTCAACCCCAATCATTTCATCACCCTCATGTTTAATTTCATTTCCACCTATGGTGACTCTTTTTTTAGCCCACTTTACACAGTTCCAAATATCCATCAAGGCCATTCATAGGTTGTATCTTCATTATGGTTTATGCCAATAGATGTCAACCAAACATTTTGGAATTCCCCAGGATCTACATTTTCATCCTGTGGAAGAAGCAAAACTTTCTAAATGGGAGACAACATCATGCATATAAGAAATGATATTTTCAAAATCCCTTTTGTATAATGACTTCTACTTTTTTCACTCTTGCAGAGATTATATAAGGAAGGATATGAAAAAGGAAAAGGAGTAAGCATTAACTAT